AATTTCTATATAATATGTACATGTTCTGCTGAAGTTGAATGTAAAACTCCAAGTATTTAAATTTTTCTATTGATTTATATAAACAATTTATAGGTATACTCCTTTCTTTGGGATTCCCAAATACTGCAACTGAGGCAATATAGAAGGAAAAAAATAGCAGAAATGAAATTAGAAATTCTTTGTGAATTAAAAAGAAAGGCTGGGCAGCGCCTGGGGCTCAAAGGAGTAGGGTGCCAGTCCCATATACCAGAGGTGGTGGGTTCAAACCTGGCCCTAGCCAAAAGCTGCAAAAAAATACTTACAAAAAAAAAAAAAGGCTAAGTGAGTTCCTTGATGTAAATATTTTGAAAAAGCAGATGTCCTAATGTTCAGTTAAAAATGACTTGCTAATCATTTGACCCTAAAAGGGGAAGTAAAAGTAAACCAATCAAAGTAATTTACTTGCTGATATGAAAACACTAACATTTAAAGTAATGCATAAAAGCTTCTGTCTACATGTCTCACAAAATACATGCAACCTGTCAGGAATTAAGGTATAAGTATTACCCATTTAAGATAAGAAAGAAAGAAGTTTAATTTATTATTCAATGAGACAGAGTCAAGACTGCTGTCTAGTTTAAACTATTTGGTACTAGAATCTGCTCAGCTGCAATTCTAGTTATCAACCCTCTAAATATTTGTTATTTACCTATTATGGGTATAACTCAGAACTGGATGTTATAGAAGCCATAAAGAGGAATAAAGTGGGCGGTGCCTGTGGCTCAGTGGGTAGGGCACTGGCCCCATATACCAAGGGTGGAGGGTTCGAACCCGGCCCCAGACAGCTAAAACAGCAGTGACAACTGCAACAAACATAGCCGGGCACCTGTAGTCCCAGCTACTTGGGAGGCTGAGGCCAGAGAATTGCCTAAGCCCAAGAGTTAGAGGTTGCTGTGTGCTGAGGGCAACGAAGTGAGACTCTGCCTCAAAAAAAAAAAAAAAAAAAAGATAAATAAAGTCTCTACACTAAAGGAAGATACACTAGACTAAGTGATCTAGGGTGATGCATCCCCAGCTGTAATACATGATGGAATATGCCAAGCTCTATAAAAGACACAGAGCTCTATTAATAAGTATGAAGAAGTGGCAGCCAAGACTCTTGGCTGAGATGGGGAAAGCTTCCCACAGGTAGGTATAGACAATATAGGAGGGCCAATAATAACAAAGACACGTACATAGTAGGAAAGCATGTGAGAGGTTTGCAGAATAACTGGCTGAGTTAGATTTTGGCAAGAATGCATAAGACGGTTGCAGAAAGGAAGGGCAAAAAGAGTGATTTGGTCATACTCAGTACCTCACAATTCATTCTTGCGGGAACAGAGAGGTTTGGCAATGACATTAGAAGCTTAAGAAACCTTAGCCATCAACTCTTTCATTATGATAACAAGGAAACTGCACCTCAGAAAGGTGAAGTGGCTTGAAGAGAAACACAAATTTCTGCCTTCCAGGAATGACAGAACATATATGATATAGGAAAATTATTTCAGCAGCAAGGTGCAGCATGGACTAGAGAGAAAAGAAATGACTTATAGTGTATGTACAAAGTGAAAAGAAATGAGATATAGTATAATTTAGAATTTTATTGCTAAGATGCTATCACAATGTGTTTTAAGAATCTTAATCACTCTGATAATCTAGGCTGAAATGTTAACTTGGCCACAGAAAACTCCTCTATTTGGCTGTAAGACTTCACTGAAGGAGAGACCAAAAAAATTAGTTTTTGTGTCAACTGCATCACTAGCATATATTGCCTGCCACCTGTGCTCTTCATGGAGCATGATAAATCACAAATGGCAGAGCTAATTTCAACAACTGTGAATGGGAAAAACAGTTTTTCAAAGACAGTAAAGTTCACTGACACCTGTGTTCAAATGTCATTTGAATATAACCAAAATACCTTCCCAAGAGTCGACTTTGGATTGTGTTACGTATACAATAATTTCAACTTACATACAATGCTATGGGAAAACAGCTGACGTGTGTGACTATACAACAGACAAGGCTGATTTTCACGTGTGGTTTGGTGAAAGCAGCCTCATTATTTTATACGTTGTAATAATTACTAGCAGGACCACCTCAAGAAATATCAAGGAGAATCTATCATACCTAAAATAAAAAAGCATAGAATAATGCTTCTCCTCTTTGATGATTACCTTTAAAAGCTTTAGATGGAGCCCTATTTTCTTTAAATACACTATCCGGATCAATCATCCAGGAAATTATCTTAACATTTTCTGTAACTATATTTTCTAATGACATCTGTACTTTTACAGCCCTGTCGTACCTATTATCTCAATTTTTGCTGGGTTTAAATACTTTATCTATACCTTGCCGTCTAGCTTAATAGCACAATTTAAGATTATTATACTTTGAAGCATAATTTTGAACTGAAGATGGTCAACATTATGTATAACAGTGGTCTAAATTTAAAGGATTTTTTTTCACTTTTAAAAATCACTTTTGTCCTCTTTCATAAGCAGTATATTTTCATTACTAAAGTTTTATCAAGGCAAAAACTATGATACTGTGTTTCCCAGAGTGCTCATGCCACACAGGTGGTCAAAAAGTTTGCTCAAGTAATGGAATGAGAATGACAATTTGGATGCAGCTGTGTGATTCAAACAAAGATCAATCACCAGGGTTGATAAGGATGCCTAGGAAAATCCACTGTGCAGATTTGTGGCCTTCACTGCTGGCCTCTTACATGTTATTCTTCACCAGGCAACAGTCATAGAACTTCCCTTTGCATGCTATACACTCCAACTGAGCAAAATCAACCGTTCCCATGGTCTTAACTCCTATAAGGTGTGTGGATGACACACAAATAATTGTCCTTGACTCTGACTTCCCTCCTAAGCTACAAATTATATCTCTTACTATCTACTAGATATTTCCATTCCTAGGCCTGATCTCAACACAATCGATCATCACCCCCAAGACCTGCTCTCTGTGAAGTGTTGTCTTTATCAGTAAATAGCCCCACCCAATTGCCTGACAGTAAAACCCAGGCAAATCTCATTTCTTCTTTTAACCACCCACATTGAATCAATCACCAATTCCTAGTGATTCTACCGTAAAAGATATATCTCCAACCTATCCACTTTTCTCCTTACCTATTTGATACCACACCTTACTCAGGCACCATCATCACTCACCAGAATTACTCCTAACTAGTGACTTTGCATCCCAACTAGCTCCCCTCCAATCTTCTCTATAGACAGAGTGAGCTTTCCAAACTCACTACTTACAAACCCTTAAATCACTTCCTACCGTCCTGAAGATAATACCAAACTCCTTGTCATGGACTCCTTGTCAACAAAGTCCTCCAAGAGCTGGAAACTACCTTGTAAGTTATACTATAGCATTTCAAAATGAATAAGCACACAAAATCCAGAGAAACCAGACAGGCCGGTCACTTATGAGCTGTCTCATAGTGGACAAGTTACTTGACTTCTTTATCTCTCCGTTTTTCCATCTGTAAAATGGGAATATTCATACCTACTTTGCAGTGTGGTTGTGAATATTAAACGAGATAAAATACAATGTTTGACACAGTATCTTACACATTCGACACATAGTAAAGGCTTAGTAAATATTAGCTACTGTTATCGCTAATTTCTCACTTCTCTCTCATTTGTATCCTGAGTTCCCTCCACACCAAACATCTTTCACTTCCTCTTATCACATATTTCTTCTTCCTTTACATCTCTCACAATTCTTTAGGTCTCATCCTAAATGTCACATCTGTCCTGTCCTGTACCGTTTGGTGCTCTATGTACTTCCCAGGGTCATGCATTCTGCTTGCCATAGCACTTATCTCACTTTCTGTGAATTTCTCTCTCTCTACTGCTAATTTCTGTGAATTTCTCTCTGTGTACTGCTAAATTTTAAGTTCTGCATGAAGAGCAACCATTGTCTATCTTGCTCACCGCTGTATTCCCAATGCCTAGTACAGTGTCTGGCACCGAATAGGTGTGTAGTAATAGAGCATACATTTTTCCTCTTGCACAGCTCCAGCTGCTCTTATTCCCGAGCTGCAGTTCATAGAAGAGCACAGTCTTCCCATAACTGCTTAGAAAGGTTCAGAAAAGCCTGTTACCGAACAAAGAACCTGATCAAATAATCCTGGGACGGACAGGTTTAAACAAAGATAGGGCTTCTGAACCAGAGTACTTCACGGAATCAAGCGCATTGCCAATCTTTAAGTTGGAGGGTGTATATTTCTCAAAATAACTCCTGCAACAATGTTTTGTAGAATACATCGTGGCCAACCCGATTTAAGGAAATGCCCTTTCTCTTACTAGAGCTTCCAAGTAAACTGATAGCGGCGGATGAGAAATTCTCTAAAGTTCTTATTTTGCGGCGTTTACCATTTTTAGGTCAGTAACTCCTGGAGACGGTGAGAGCTAGAAAGAACCTTTAATATGGCTCAACAAAGACTCTTTTACAGATAAGGAAACTGAGGCACAGAAGGCAAAGCGACCAAATTAAGGCCATCCAGTAGCTACACACATCAGGAAGAGTTAATAGAACCTCTATCGTCCGTTTCGTCCCAGAGATTGCCAGTACAAACGCCTCTGACAACCTGGGTCTGCCAAGTGTTTCCATTTCAATTTCTTTTTGAAGCCAAACCACAATTAAGGTGGGTCTTTCTTGCCTCCCTGTCCCTTAGGCCTACAGTTACCACCTTTCGCTCCTCGCTCCCGTTCACAATACACTTTTCCGGGTAAACCGTGCATTTGGGGCTTGGCTGCAGGCGCGGAGGACAGTTTGCTTTCTTTCCTTCAGCGGTTATTGTCGGAGTGCAAACTTTTTCATGCAAACCCAACAAGGTTGTTAATTTTAAGGCCTCCGCCTAAATCCCCGGTGATGCTACTCCCTGTCCCACTGCGCCCTCATCTCTCTTATCCTACCGGCTCCCTCCCTAGCTCAGACGCAGGGGCCCTGCTGTTGGTTTTCACCTGGGACTGCCATGACGGTGGTAAAAGAGATCGCTGGAGCCTTCACCTTTCGAGAACGCGTTTGCTTCTCGCTGGCTGCGAGCAGGACACACAGCCAAAGCGGTCTTGTCGTACCACTCGCACTGGGGCACCTTCGCTGCGGTCGGGGAAGGCCTTGCCAGCCTCTAGTACTGGAACCAAGTAGGCGCGGATGTAGTTTCCGGGAGACTCCTATTGTGGACTACACGTGGTCGGAACCATTCCTGCCAGCTTCGGGGGCGTGAGTGCGACTTGCACACGCGACTAGTGAAGTAAACATCACTAAAATTTACGAATTGTGCCTTTTCGTATTGAAAAATATTTAATACAATTTAAATGAAGCAATAGGAGCTTTAGAACCTTTTTCTTTTCCCCGGAGTATATTGGAATCCCCCCTTCTTTGGGTTAGCGGTGTTTGGGTCCAGGAGCAACATGGCGGCGGCCGTGAGGGGCTGCTAGCTTTGGGCAAAGGTAGCGTCTAGTGTGGCTGTTTTGCGTGATAGAGACTGACTGAAGCTTTCCCGGACCTCCTGACTTAAGGAAGAGAGTGCAGGAAGGCGAACAGCTTCAGTGACTGGCCGTCCGTTCTTATCACCCCCAAAGAAGCGGAGTCCTGAGCACTAATCAGGATGAGCAACATCTACATCCAGGAGCCTCCCACAAACGGGAAGGTGAGAGCCTCACTTCGGGAACCTGGGGTCCCAAAAATAAGATCTCCCTGATTGGGGGGGAGGGGATTCGGGTATCTTAGTGTAGGACGAGAGCGTAAGAAGTGTCCTCCTTAATCTCTCTGCCTATGGACAGTGTGGCATAGAAAACCTTCAAGTTGGCTCTTCTCAATATGTACTTGAAAAAGTACTCAAGTGGAGATTTTTCTATCAATTTCCTGGTCCTGTTTCCCACCTTCACGCAGCTAACGCAGATGTTTTCTTGGGTCTTAGGTTTTTAAAGATGTATTTTTGAGTTTGACATGTTTTTGCTTAACTTGAAGACTGTTTGTTCTCCATTTCTTCTGTACACATTGACTGAACGCCTTCTAGGCACTGGGCACTGTACTAAGCACTGGGAATACAGAGATGGATGAGTAAGGTCATGTTGCCCTAAAAGAGCATATACAGTTTATTTAGAGAGAGAGGCAGGTAAAGAAAACTCTTATTAAATGTCTGGTAGGTGCAGTCGTGGGCAGGGAAACATACTGCTATGGCACTATTGAGAAGTGGGAAACTAAGAAACTTGGGAAGAACTGCATGGAGGAGGTGTATTTTGAGCTGATTATCAGAAAAAGTGGGAATGGGGAATGTTACCATATTCAAAGGGGGGAATGATTCTCTAACTGATTTGATGGCCCATGTATGTCAATTCCTGTCCAGTGTGTTTATATTACATTGAGGGAGAGGAATCAATAATGGAATAATTGTCAAATGAATTCTTGAACTAAGATCTAGTCTATATCACATATGAAATGTAATGAACCAACACAAGGAAGAAAATAAATGGCATGGAAAGTATATAGTTGATTAGAATAAACTAAATTTACATAAAATATGATTCTTTGCATGAGTGCATCATAAATTGCTTACAAAATCTTTTATTTATTGACATTTGTTAATGTAACAAAGGCAATTTGAAAGCAAAACCAAAACTGCTGTAATTCCTAGTGAGAATTTTAGTAGGTATTATGGGCAGATCAATTCTTTTTTGTTTGAAATTTTCCTGGATATTGTAGCATCTCTGTCCCATCCCTACCCTACCCTCTGCCCTTTGCTCTATATCAGTGTGAAAGTCCAAATTACCTACCTCTTATTTCCTAATATTTCTGAGGGCAACTATTACTGCCAGTTGATAAACACTGGAAGAGAACAGGTTGCCCATCCTGCCATGTAAGGCATTCATACTTGCTGGTCTTCTCCCTGGTGCATGCTATTTTAACTTTCAAATGTCAACCTTAGTAAAAAGACCTTTTTTATCTCCTTTCTATAAAATTGTAAACTTCAATCATACCTTGCATCCCAGCAATCTTCCCCTTTTTCCTTCCCACTATAAAATGCAAGCATTTAGAGCTATGCTTGATATGCAGTTGAAGGAATTCAAATATGTACCAAATGAACGAGTGGATGGATGAGTTAATACTATATTTCTCTTAGATTTTGAGAAGTATTAAGCATGAATGAGTTTGAAGTTATACTGCTCCTGGTCAAGGGCAGGCTTAGTGGCTTTAGAGGAAGATTTGACATGATCTTCCTCATATAAAGGAGTAGATTTAACATTCCTGAATATGTTATTCATTCAACAAATATTTATTGAGCACCTAGCACACACCAGGCTCTATGCTAGGTTTTAGGGTTACAAAGGAAGGAAAAATCAATATTATCCCTATAATCACGGAGTCATTTGAGTGAAATACATTCACTAAGTAATCATGCAAATAAATATATAATTGCAAATTGTGATGAAAACAGTCTTATGAACAGAAGTGGTTTGAAGGAGAATTTAAGGCAGAGCCCAAGTTTTCCTCCAAAAAAGGTTTCGGACTTTTTCCAGCAAAAGGCTGATCGAACATAGTGAATCTTCAAATTCCTGTTCTATAGAGAGGATGGCAAGATTTTTGTCCTGGAAAAAATTTAAAACAGATATAGTAAGAAGTCTGCTCAATGAATTTTTGTTTAGTGCCTTTAAAGTGTGATCATACATTAGGCTACTGAAAGGATACAGAGTGTTCAGAATAAATGGGACAAAACCCCTCCTTTCAAAAAGCACAGTATGAACTTGAGAAGTATTTGGTGCAAAATACTAGTGGTTAACCCCTGGCTATTGTCCATAAATGTACTATGTTATAACCTTTTGTCCTGAAGATGAGGGTCAGAAATATAGGACTTGATAGAAATTTTCTTAAGCATGAAAGGTAATCTACCGAAGGTGAAATTTCTGCATATTATTATCACTTAATGTAAGTTGCATTTATTTTAATTTATAATAATAAATTTTATTTATGTAATAGATTTTAATATTTAATTTTAATACTTTATTTAAAATTAAATATATTCTTAAGAAACATATTTCCAAAGTAGTATAATATTCGGGAGCTTTAATAAAAAGAGCCACTAAGGCCTTACAAAGTACAACTATCCAAAGGGAATGTAGGGCCCCCAGAGGAAGAAGCCATATACCTTCTTTATTAATTTAGTAGCTTATCAGTGAAAAGATTTAGAAACCTTGGTGAGCAAGGTGGCCCAATCAGATATGCATTCTTTTTACTACATGTAAGTTGCCTGTGACCAAAACCCCCCAATTTTATAAGAATAATAATGGCCATGATTTTTTGAGCACTTATTGTCAGGTACTGTTTTAAGTCTATGTATAATAGCTCATTTTGTCCTCATAGCAATCCCACTCAGATAAGGAAACCGAGTCACAGAGATGTTAGATGTGATGCCCAAGGTAATGAAGCGAGTAAGCCAAGAGTCAGGATTTGAATTTGGGCAACCTGACTCCAGAGCTTGTGAGGGAGGAATGACATGCACTCATTTGTTCTTTAGAGCAGCAGTCTTTAACCATGAGTGCATTACTTCAGGGGCTGTGCAAAAGCATCTGGTGTGTGGGGGAGAAAATCAGTGTCTATTTGTATTTATTTTTCCTTTGGTTTAAAAAATTTCATATAAGTTCAGTTACTTTTTTTGCATCATGATGTAATTTTTCTTAATGAGCAGGTAAGTGGATTTATAGGCTATGGTTCTGAATTAACCAAATTAGCCCTCACAAATTTCATATTGAAGATAATATTAATAATACAATCATAAGAAAATGATAGAGCTGATGCCTCAGCATTGGAAGTTCATCAAAAAATGAGAAATTACTATGAAGACCATCTAAATACAGATTTCTGTTTATTATTGTTAATGGTGAACTTCATCTTAGAATATATTGTACCTTGAAATATTTATCAGTAAGAGTATAAAGCCACTGGCATTTATAAGACATTTAAAAACTAAGCATCAGGCAGCGCCCCTAGCTCACTTGGTAGGGCGCCAGCCACATACACTGAGGCTGGCGAGTTGGAACCCAGGCTGGGTCAGCTAAAATAATAATAACAACTGTAACAACAACAACAAAAATAGCTGGGTGTTGTGGCAGGTGCCTGTAGTCACAGCTACTAGGGACGCTGAGGCAAGAGAATCCCTTACACCCAGGAGTTGGTGGTTGCTATGAGCTGTGACACCCCAGCACTTTACCCAGGGCAGTAGCTTGAAACTCTGTCTCTAAATAAATAAAATAAAATAAAATTAAGTTAAATTGAGAAAAACTAAGAATGTGGAACAAGAATATAGACCTTTAATTTCAGAGCAACATTATGCTAAGTAAGAAAGGCTAGATACAAAAAGCCATAATTTGTATGATTCCATTTATGAAACATCTCATAGGCAGGTTTATACAGATGGAAGTAGGTTAGTGATTGCCAGAGGTGAGCGGTAGGAGGAAAATGGAGAGTGACTGCTAATGGGTACAGGGTTTCTTTTTGGGGTGATGAAATATTTTGGAATTAGATAATGGTGGTGATTGTATAACTCTGTGAGTCTACTACAGACCACTGAATTGTATGCTTTCACAGGGCAAAATGTCTAGATTACGGGTATCTCAATAAAGTTATTATCAAAAAGGTTCATTGTATAATAAATAAAATTAAAATAAGAATTATTTAAAAATACTGTTTTTATATAGTCTTTTACAATTTTTATTTTTTGTGATTCCTATTTTAATAATGCTGGAGTAATACTGTACTGTAATATGTATTTTTAAATGTCCATGTTTGTGCATATTGTGCTCCAATCCCTTACTTCCCCTGCACCCCTCCTCCCCTTTTTCTTTTTGCTAATAGAATGTACACTTTCAAAAAATCGAAAGACTGCAATTAAGAGAAGACAGGGCTAGGTTCCTTTTAACAAAAGGACTTTATTGCAAATATACAAGGAAATAATGAAATAGGATAGGACATTGTCTTTTTAGGTCTGCTATACTTTTAAGATTGGGATGTACATCAGTCCTCATGTAAAATCAGAAGACATTCCATAGTGTTGTTGCAGATACAGTCTGAGGTAGAGGGAGTTATTACTCTCAGTTTGTATC